TTAGAAGGGAGCAGGTTGAGGCCAATCTCGCCCAGTTTACTAGCTTGCTAGTTTCCTAGCCGGTCCCAAGGCCGGATAAAGAGGAAAAGGTTGGCGAAGAGCTAACGGCCCAACATGAAAAAACTAATCAAACTTCATGCATTTATTCCCCTTGATGAATTTAAATAAAGCAAGAACAACAGCGGTTTGTGCAGAATAATATGGTACCATCATTTATTTCGTCGGCTTCTCATCAGCTGCTTACAGCCTAAATAAATTGTGAGGTTTACGTACAGAAAAGTTTTTTACATACTTGCAAATTTTACATGTTGTCAGTTGACAGAAGGTTCCACAGTGCTCAGAAATTGCGCTTATATAGTTTTTCACAGGCAGTTCAAGTTAAATATGTATCATACAATGGTAAAAGAGTTACGTAATAAATCAAATAAAGTCAAAAATGTAAAACAAATCACAGTGGAAAAAGAGCCAATCTACTTTCAGCTTGATTATAAAGGTGAAAACATTACAGCGATGATCAACAGAAGGCTGAGTACATCACTAGCTATAGCCTATCCTGCAGCCAAGCTCGTTCCCGTCTATCAAACAACTTGCTCTTTGGTGCAATCAAAATCGATAGATATCCCTCTCATGTGAACTCCAACTGCATATACAAATTTACATGCATCTGCGGGAGCAGTTACATTGGAAGGACAGAAAGAAGGGCATATCTACGATTTTCTGAACATGTACCAAAAAGCTTACGTCTAAAGGGAACAAATTCTTTAAACAGTGCCATCGCCAGGCATCTCCTCGACACGGGTCATGAGGTGGAAATCGAGAAATCCTTTAAAGTTATCAATAGACAAAGGAGCTCCATTCTCCTCAAGTTTGCCGAAGCAATTTCTATCAAACGCTTCAAACCAGATTTATGTGTTCAGAAAGAAGCAGTTATTAGTCTTTCCTTGCCATGGTAACTGGATGTCTTTATTCTCTAATCTGATTACGTAATCTTTGTCTTTAACCTCACCCCTCCTTTTTATTTTTATTTTTAAAATCTGTAATATTGCTTGTCTCTTGTTTCTATGACGTGATTTGAACTCAGTACATCGTTACAAAATTTATTAGTTACTCATCATCTTACTCACCTCTCGTCTTTATTACGTAACTCTTTTACCATTGTATGCATACATCTATTTTGTTTAAACTTGAACTGCCTGTGAAAAAACTATATAAGCGCAATTTTCTGAGCACTGTTCACTTACTGTGGAACCTTCTGTCAACTGACAACATGTAAAATTTGCAAGTATGTAAAAAACTTTTCTGTACGTAAACCTCACAATTTATTTAGGCTGTAAGCAGCTGATGAGAAGCCGACGAAATAAATGATGGTACCATATTATTCTGCACAAACCGCTGTTGTTCTTGCTTTATTTAAACTAATCAAACTGCTGGAGCGACTTCAACGCACAAGAAAAGTGTTTAAAATACAAAGAATTCAGAAAACAAACTTACTCTACGGTGGAATCGGAGAAGGGAAATGACACAGAAGGCTGGTGAAACCCACCTCTTGGGAAGCCAGGCAACCAGCCGATGTGTCTTCTCTCGATAAAACCAAGAATAAGACTGAGGACGTAGAATGTCCATACAATGTACGAAGCTGGGAAGGCTGCCCAGGTAGCCGAAGAAGTGAGAAGATATGGCCGAGAGGTGCTGGGTATCTGAAAATGGTTTTTCAAAATTGTCAACTGCAGAGTCAGTAATCTACTCCGGTCTGGCCACCCAGACGACAACCCGAAACACTAAGGCTCTGAGTGGCTATAATGATGTCACTAGTGAACAATCTTTTTTTTATTTATTTTTTGATTGCAACTTGATGCCACACCGTATTTTCTGTACAAGTATGGAATTTTCAGCATGGATATCGGTAGCCTAAATTTTTCAGGCCGAGCATAGATATCTGGTGTGCGTCGGCAGGGGATCGAACCCTGGACCATGTGCATGTTCGGTGAGAATCCTAACCACTGTGGCAGCCAGAGCCCTAATGCAGTGGGAACCAATCTCCTCATCCACGATCATGACAGCAAGATTCAACTCAAAAGGCAGGAAGGAAAGAAGGTCACAATTATCATGCAATGCTACGCACAGGGCTACAAACAACGCAAAACAAGAGAAGGAAAACTTTTGCAGACAACTACAAACAGTAATGGACAACATCCCGAGTGGAGACATCAAAACCCTCATGGGCGATATGGATGCAAGCTAGAGTGGGAGCAGATAAAACAAGAAGAGAACTCATCATGTATCGAGTGGCTCTGGCTCAGTGAAATGAATGAGAACGGAGAATTATTCGCAGACTTCTGAGCTTTCAATGACCTGGAGATCGGAGGCAGCGTGTACAAGCACAAGGATATACGCAAAGCAACATGGATTTTGCCTGACGAACACACCACAAACCAGATAGACTTCATCTCAGTGTTGCTCAAGGAAGTGGAGACGCAGCTAGCTTGTTGGATACAAATTCGAAAAGGGGAGCAGATGTCAGTGGGCTCAGACCATCATCTACTTCAAGGGACCTTCAAGGTGAAGCTGAAATCCTTTATCACCTGCTGGAGGTGATATTCAAGTAAACGTGTACTACTATTCTAGGAAAAAAGAAGAGACAAGACAAGGAACGGCTCCCAACGGACATCTGCCTGGAAGCTAATAGACCAGAGAAGGATGGTGAAAGGGAAGATGACTCAATGCAAGGATGGTCAACAGAAGGAGAATCTGAGTTCAGTGTACACTGCACTGGATAAAGAAGTGAAGAAGAGTGCTAGGAAGGACAAAGGAAAAAATCTGCGACACATTGTCAACTGAAGCAGAGCATGCAGGCAGGGAGGCCGCGGGTAGAAAACAGATCAGGACATTATATCAGACAACCAGGTCACTCGCTATCCAGGAAGAGATCAATCCAGATGATGAAACCAATAAAAGATGTTCAAGGGAACCTGATTACCAAGAAGGAGAAACAAATCAAACAATGAGCTGATCACTTCAAAGGACTCTTGAATTGACCTTCACCTGCAGCTCACTCAGAAATACCACCATCACCAAGAGCACGCACAGAACTACCTGCCAGTTAACACCAATCCGCCAACGAAAGCAGAAATCCTAAATGCGATCAAACTACTGAAGGCCAGCCGAGAAGGTAACAAGACCAGACGGAATCTCTCCCTCCCCACTGAAGCACTGAAAATGGACCCAGAGAACGCGGCAGACGCGCTCACGCCATTGTTACAAAAGGTTTAGGAAGAAGGAAAGGTGCCTACCGATTGGAAGAAAGGCTGTCTACCTCGTCAAGCTTCCAAAGAAGGATGACCTACGCCTCTATAAGAACTGAAGTGGAATAATGCTCTTGTCCACGCCAAGTAAAATACTAAGTTGCATCATCCTGGAGAGAATAAAAGATGCACTGGATACAGATCTCCACCCCACCGACCAGAACAAGCTGTATTCAGGAAAGCTGAATCATGTGCTGATCAAACTGCAACTCCACTCATCGTCATCCTAGAACAAAGCATAGAATGGCAGTCAAACCTCCCTCCACCTCAACTTCATCGACTTCGAAAATGGTTTCGACAGCCCTGGCCGAGAATTAATTTGGAAACTACTCCAACAGTACGGTGTGCAGTGCCCAAATCTTTATCAATCTAATCCAGCAGCTGGTTATATGGCAGTGCCACATGTCAGGTGATCCACAACGGGAAACTAAGTGAGGCGTTCGAAGTGCATACAGGAGTAATACAAGACTGCCTGACTATTACCACCGATGATATTCCTAATTGTGGTGAACTGGATTATGCAGCACACCCTGCTCAGGGAGCGAGAAGACAAGAATACGTTGAACCACCAATTACAAGACTCTAGAAGATCTCGATTTCATGGATGATTTATGTCCAATGTCACACAAACTCAAAGACTTACAGGTGAAGTGAAAGAAACTGGCAGAAGAAGTAGGCAGCGAACACAGGACTCTAGGTGATCCAGGATGCATAACAACTGTCTCAGAGGCATTATCTGGTCAGGATATATAACCTACTTAATTGATTTATTCTTCAACTTGTTCTGTACGTCTGAATTCAGAATCACTTACTTGTGGTTCTACTGCATTTGAGCATTTCCAGAAATTCACTTAGGATTATTACCCTGTATCTGTTAGAAATTTCTGAATACGATCTTCATACCTCACAAGTTTACACTGCTATAAAGTTGATTATCGCTCTGATGGGTAGACGAATTATCTGACGATTCGAACTGACAAGTGAGAAACCATACATTTTTACAACATTATAAAATTTCTTTCCTGTTTATTCATTGAAAAACATTAAAAACTCTGCCTTTCGAACACAAAATGCTGAGATAATTTATTTCGACAAATATAATATAAGCTATTGATATACAGAACTCAGCATACTTTATGCAACTGCAAAAAATTTAATGAACTAAAAACCATTTCAAATACTATTGAAAATAAAAGCTGACGTGATAGGTCACAGCTAAACAACTAAGAGCAAGCTATAGCCTCAAAAGTCAACAGGTAACTGTCGCTTCCTATAAAGAAATTATGAAGTATTCCAGGTAAAAACACAAAATTATGATTTGATCCTTAAACAAGATTAGTGGATTAAACTAGACCAGGTTAGTTACAAATTTGATCATTTATTCACTGAAAGGATGCACATCCTGGAGAAAATAATTTCGAATATAAAAATATTGAACGTTGGTTCGTCTAAGTCAAAGGAAATGAATTAATTCACCATAAAAGTTAGAATCAGACATCAGCTGAATTACAGTTTGAATATTAAGAATATTTTTTGTTTTTTTTACTATTCACAAATGACTGGACAGTGTTTAATTCCACAGATGATCTAATTATATCACATTTAGTGTTTGTATCAATACTGATTTTTGTTTTTGCACCTTGCAATTGAAGATCCTTCAAATAAACTAGAGGAAAATTAACCTCACTGAAATATAAACTTTTAGCTTAGAAAAGTTACATAAACTATTCAAAGTATGGGTAAATGACGTTTAAAAAACACAGTAGAAAATTAATATGACAAGTGCTGTTCATATTTACTAGGCAAGTTGTATGAATGGAACTAGCAAACCGAACTTTCGACTTCCAACTTTGAAGTATGGCATGATAGGTTAGCTGTGTTAGCCAAAACTGCGTTCTGTACAAACTGTAGACTTGACATAGTTAATTCATGTGATTCTGGATGAGTATCAATGGTCAAAATTAAGAAACACACAGCATTATCACTTAGGACTGGTTTCAGTAAATGTGTTAAATAAGATTCATGAAATGGTGGATTAAGTTTACGTTTTCTTAGTGAGACAAACACTCTTGACAGCGTGGACAAAGACTTATTCACATTGGTCGGTGATAATGATTTCGGCTTGGACATTTTTTCATGTAAATCTTGACAACCAATATGATATTTAACTGTTGCGTCATTTGCCTCTTGTTCAAAGTCAGAAATGTCATAAATGTTGGCTTCACTCTTCAGTTCCCAACTGGCTAATTTCACCAGAATTATATTTGATTCCACAGCTGGTAACAGGTCTGTAGATGACTTAGTACCTTTTATCATGTATCTGACTAACAAATGTCCATTGGTTTGGGATTCTGATTCCGTCGAAGAGGTACATTTCTTATTCTGATATTCTACTTCCTGTACATACTTGACTAAATGATAAAGGTCTTCGGTTGTATTGAGTTCGAACTCTTCCCACGATGACGGTGAAGAAATCTGGATACGGTCATTCTCTCTAAATGTAGTATCAATAACGCGTGGTTCCATTGTATTAAACATTGGTGACTTCCTCTCTCTAAAAATATCTGTCACACTGTCATCTCGCACTGACAGGATTTGTACACGTACGGTATAACTCCAGTTGTCTACTGTTTTCTGGTTGATTGACGTTAGCAATACGTTTGTAACGTCATACATTACTCCACCTAAGTTAGATTTAGTATCCATAGTCGTTTGTTCATTATCAAGTGTACCAAACATTGTAAATGATTTTCCACTCTTTTTTGAACCATAAACCATTATTCCTAGATTAAGTCCTTTTAGACAGTCTGTAACTGACGTCCCTATTTGCTTTATCAAGTCATTATATTCACTGTTATCTGGTCCAATTACTTTGTCAAAAATGAAACAACGTAGATGACTAGCACTGTTAATTGTGTAAGTGGTAGAATCGGTATTCTTATCTCTCTTTTTGTATTCTATTTGTCTAGGTGTGGAAACAACCAATGTTTTTGGTATAATAATTTTGTCATCTGATATAATTTGCAGATAATTATTAGGATTTGGTTTAATGCGACATATGACATGTACTGTATTGACAAGATTATGCATTTTCTTTAACAACAGCTTTCTTTTTTGTTCTTCCTCAGACAACATACCTTGAAGTTCTCGTTTACGAAATGCCAAATAGTCAATTTCATTTTGTAAATATTTCAAATGCAAAGTGTGCTCATCTTCGTGTTCATTTACTTTATCACTTTCAGTTTTCCAGTATGGAAAGGTAGACTGGTCAGCCACATCGGCAGGTGTTAAATTATCCTTTCCACTGACTGTTTGATGGTTTGCATCAACCGCTTGTGATTTAGATATTATTCTTTCTGTTTCGATTATATTTTTACTTAACATCTGTATCTTTTCTTGTTGTTCCATTACATATTTCTTCAACTGATTCCGTTGTTCTTTGGTTCTTTTCAATAGATGAAACAAACGATACTTCACATCATTCTGTTGTTTAATCTCTTCTGTGCACAAATTATGATTGGCTAACAAGTCTTGGATAAAAATGCTTGATATAGGTATAATGAAGTCATTATATTCATATGTAGAAGATACACAACTGCAGTCTGGTTGGTTTAACCTAACCTTGTCAAAATCAATAAAGTCTAAGCAGCTTAAATTAATTCCAACTGTTTCTGATTGTTTCGGTGAATGAAGTGGAGAGGAATGATCATTCAGCATGACGACATCATTATCAGCAGAGAAAATCTCCTTGTTCGATATATGATTTTTCGACCATGGTAATTTTAAGATCTCGTCAAAAAATCTGATCAATTTTAGATTTTGTTCTGTCTGTGTGACCTTTGTTTTTGCCTCTTCTGTTCTTTCCTCCTGATCAGTTTTCTGATTGTTTTCTCTTAACAAGAACTTTTCTATCAATAAACCTAATTCCATTAAGCTATAATAGCGTACTTTCCACCGTTTTGCCATAAATGTCTGCTGACCTTCTTTCATAGCTTGGCTGATTAACATTTTTTCATATGCTTCCTTTTTATTTGCCACCTTATAGGCAAATTCATCCAGGAATTCATTCAATGTTTTTGTATAGTCAAGTTTTATACACTGTTTATTACGTATCATTTCAAGCAGTTTATAATTTTCAGTTTTCAAATAACATAAACACTTATATAAACGTTCATAGAACACTTTATATTTTTGGTAGGCTATATTATTAAGGTTGGATGATGATTTATTAAATTTCTCCAACGGAAATAATGATGGTTGACTTGAATTGGACTGATTTGAATGTGTCGATGTGTTCATTAATATTTTCTTCATTACTGTGAATTTGTACAGATTAAGAAAGAAGAAATTCTAGTATTATTACTTCCTTATATTTGTAGAAGTGAATTATCAGCTTCGATTACTTTCAGATCGATATTGATGCCTCATTTTGTCACGTGAATGGAATCTTCCAACAGTAAACTAAGAAGACGAAATCCACCGCATGTTTGTTATCAATAACTAACATACTTTTTTAACAAGATTTTGAATACTGTTGGGAAATTTTTTTGTATTTGCGAATACATCATTAAAAAACGATTTCACCTGCTTAATATTTAAGAAAAGAATAATAACATTGGAATTTACGTTTTAGGGTGTTGGAATAATAATATAATGCATTCACCTCAGGACTACAGGAACGAGTGATTGCAGGAAGAAAGAATTATGAATAAAATTTGTTTTTGAAAAATATCTAGTGACAACGTCAGCTTTCACCTTGACAGTGAGTTGTTATGATGAATAATGCATGAAAAATAGTAGTCTCTATAAATCATACTTTCTTGTAACCAGCCTATAACATTATCAATTTTTACTCATGATTTCACCTTTGGCTGCTAGATTTATCCATTAATTTTCAGTTGCAATCTTTTAACCGTCAGCTAATCATGGTTAACCGTGAAGGAGACAATGCACTTTACTAATAATCATTTTGTTATTTTCTTCGAGTACTTTACGCTAGTGAGTTAAAAAGAGGACTAATTTGCCCCGTTATACAGTGTATATTATAAGGTGAAAATAGCCACACAGTAACCTGAGGTTGCCTTCAGCTGCGAAAATTCTGAATACAATATCCTATTTTCCCATGTTAATGCTTGAACAGCTACTTTGAACAATGAAACACATTGATGTCAAAGTTAAAAAGGAGAATATTTTAAAGGGTGACTATATTTATTCGATGCAGCGTTTTGACTTTTTACACTATTTCACCAATGAGTTTAGATGTGATTTCAGTATGGCTGAAAATTCGACAGTGACGCAGCTTTCAGCCTTTTCACTATTAGAATTCAGACAGCCAGAAAATGCGAATGGAGTATTACAAGCCACTAATACCTTTCAGCTACCGAAATTCAAGGCCTAGGAGAAAGAAGCGCTCTTGCATCAAAACAACTATCATCACAGTTGGTGTTCGAAGGCGAAATTTTCGTCTTGGTCAACCGGTTGTGTGACGAGTAGCACGTATCCCCAACTCCGAAGAAGTTCGAAAATGTCGGTGCAAAGATTTCACCATCTATCTATTTAACGTTTCTTGTTTCTATCTGTCTCAGTTAAACTAAATTCCTAAGACAACTTAATACTTAAAAATGTTTAAATAACACCTGTACCATGTTAGAAAGCTATCAGTTTCCAATTCTGAATCGTGTACCGAGTAGGAAAATGCCCAGTCAACCAGAGATCTCACATCTGAAGTTGTGGATACATACGGTACTTCTGATACGCTCGTAGGGGATCAAAAAGGTGTTTATTCTCTTGGCTGTATTTGACTAGTGCGATACATATGGGGAACGCATGCTGCAGATGTTGGGAGATTGTGTGGTTATTTCTCGTAGACCGAATATAGGGGAGAAGCTAAATTTATGATGAAACTGATCAATCCGCAGTAGAAAAAGGTTTTCTTGACACTATCCAGATTCAGAACTAGTCAGAACCCATCAGGAAAACATTTGTCATGTATCCCCAATGAGTTTATCTCACTTTTGGAGTGTCCATCTGGTGGAATGCGTGTCACCTCCTGCATGACCTCGTTCCTATACACACTGCCTCCCATCACCAAGTCATTCAAGTCTCCGAAGAGTTCTGCCTCCTCATTCACTTCCTCGAGACACCCCCGACCCATGATCACTTCTCCTCCTGTGTTGTCTCCTCCCATCTTCAACTCCATCCATATCACCCATTATGACTGACTTTGATGTCATCACCTGACCGGATTCTTGTCAATTACTGCTCACAGTTTCCTCTAGAAATCTTCATTCGTCCCCAGTGTGTCTACGTTGTTTGCAGGGGTGTGTTGCATTTCAGATTTGTAATTTCCCTTCGCTTTGACTTCACTTCATTGGATCTCGTTCCCATGATCCTGAGAGTGAGTGTTTATCACCATTCTGTTGGCAGCATCATGATGGCCACTCAATCAGTGTTCCCGTCGTTGTCGTCCGGAAGATTGCAGTAGATTACAGGCTTTCCAATTGACGATTTGGCGAGTCTGCTTACATTCCACCTGCTCTCACACATTCACACCACTTCCATACCACATTTTCTCGTCATTTCTTCTGCAGTCTGAGCAGCCTTCCCAGCCTCGAATATCGTGAGGATATTGCATATGGCTATGTTTAATTTTGCTTTCATTGGAAGGAGACACATCGACTGACTGTTCTTCTGGGGTTTTTCGATATCCCATGTGATTTTGTCCCTTTGATTCCAGCGAAGAATTAGTTTACTTTTTGTCGTTTCTTCATGTTTCTGCGGCAACTGGACTGATTTTCTTATGTGGGGTTAGTATCCCCACTCCCAACCTTCCTCGTTTTTTTGGGCGTAGTACTGGCTATTAAACTACTGAACATTCGTTGTTATTAGGAGGTGGAATTCGGACAGGGTTTTGGAGTGCAGTTTCATATTAGGTGGTTGGGAAGTGGCCTAGTTAGAAACAGTGTATCATGATGTGCTATGTCTAGTAATGTGGAAAGGTCGTTACGTTAGAAAGATTCATCTAAACTGCTAGTTGGTGATTCGACTAAAAGCAGTTACCGGCATGGTGTAAGATTTTGTAAAAACTATGCTGGGGCCGGTGGGCGAAGTCATACCGCTGGGGAATAGGGATGTAACAGCAGTAAGGTTTTTCCCTCAGATGACCAGCATGCCAGCTAAGTTTTCTCTACACTCTGGAAAGAGAGGGCTAGTAAGGGTCGACCCCGAAAATTGCACATCCCGACTTATCCTACGGTGGTCTGTAAAAGGCGGTAAATTACTAATACGGAACCAGTTGGTACAAGCCGAGTATTACGGGCCTCAGGCAGTTGTCCCCCTAGGCTCTGCGGTCATGCAACACTAACTCTCTTCCTGTTTCAAGTACCCCAAGAATCAATCAGCTTCCGTGGTTTTGGCAGCTGAGAAGTAACAACCGCCTACACACTTCCAACAGCACACGATCCCTCCTGATCATCACCCTCCTTTATCCCTGTCAGCCTCATTGTCTTGCTTCTCTACTACCGTTAATACTATTCTGCAGGCTAGTCAGTCATCTTCACTTCATTCTGTGACCACAAACAACGATGGCAGCCATAGAAATACCCCCGACAGCCTCTTGAAGCCACGTCTCCCAACTTCATATAGGAGCATTCAACGTCAGAACCCTTTACCAAATCGGACAACAGGCATCACTAGCAAGAACTCTGGCGTCTTGAGCCGTGGATGTATGTTGTGTTTTGGAGACACGCATACAAGACCCGAGTATAGTCATTCCCTGGACCTCACCCGGCCAACAAGATGAATCTGCAAAATTCCCTTTAAGGATGTCAGGTGACCCCTCAGCTAGCTCAGGAGGACTCGCAGGTGTAGGGATAGCACTGAGTGTTAGGGCGGTAAAATTCCTTTTTGACTGGATCCCAGTAAATAGTCGCATGTGTGCGGTCGATCTGAACGGGTCCGTTAGAAGAATGAAGGACGGCATTGTCCATCATTGTCTTTACATATTCTCCGCTTATGCCCCAACCGACTGCAGTTCGAATGAACTAAAGAGTGATTTCTACCTGAAACTGTTTAATTTGGTGCAAAAAGCAGGACGTTCAGATATAGTTATTTTAGCAGGCGACTTCAATGCCCAAGTAGGGAAGTTGTGCCAGAATGAGAAGTATGTAGGTGGTACGTACGAAGTTCTGTGCCAGCGAATCGATCGCCTTCTACAGTTCTGTTCGAATAATCATCTGTTACTAGTGAGCATTAACTTTAGACACAAAGAGAGACATTGCGTACCCTGGTGACCTCCATCACCAAATCAATGCTGGACTCAAATAGACCACATAGCAACATTCTATCATTGGCGAGGGTCAGTAGAAGACAAACGCTCCTTCTGTAACACGTGCGTAGACTCCGATTATGCTCTGGTCCGCGCACGTCTAAATGGACATAAAATACTGTTGGTAGCGAAGCAGTTATGTCCCTAAACTAGATGAAGACATTGAGTCCCCATTTGAGGAAGACATAGCGAAACGAGTATCTGAATTCGACAGCAAGACCTCTCCTGAGGAAGCCTGGCAAAATATACAGTTAGCTGTAGACACGGCTGTAAATGCTGCTAATAACTTGAAGCCATACGTTAGTAGGAGCCAATGAATTTCTATCACCTCATCCGAATTGATTAACGCAAAAAGACTGATTCTGGCGAGCTCCAAATATGATGAGGAGCGAAAGCTGCTCAAACGCAAACTAACAAGAAGCCTTCGTAACGACCGTGAACAGTGGTGGGCGACAAAAGCAAAGGAAAAGGCATCGGCGATAGGTAACTATTTAGACTTATTAGGGAAACAGGTGGCAAAAAGCAAATGATAAGTGAAACAATCCCCGAGGTAAATGGCACCATAATTAGCTCGGAGGATAGACAACTGGAAAGAACACTTTGAGGGGCACTTTAATTGGCCTACAGTCACACTTAACTTACCAAGCATCCAAACCTCCCTGAATGGGATATAGACACAAGTCCTCCGTCCCTAACTGAGGTTACTAAGGCAGCAGGACCTGATGGGATGACTTCACAGGTGTTTAAGGACGGCGGAGACAGTTCACTATGTGCGTTAACTAAGGTGTTAGGCAGCGTCTGCGGATCAGAGGAAGTCCCATCAGGTTGGTGTAAGTCACTGATTATCCTGATATGCAAGAAGGGAGACAAGTTTTCCCGTGATAATCACAGGAGGATTAGCTTGACTAATATGGTATCTAAATTCCTAGGCTCAACAATAATCGGTGCTCAGGAGGCACAAACACGAGAGAACCAGACAGGCTTCAGGCCAGGAATAGGATGTATTGGTCACATCTTCACCATTCGACAAATTCTGGAACACAGGCATACCTACTGGCGTCCAACAGTTGTCATATTTCTCGACCTGAAAGCGGCACTTGATTCCGTCGACTGATAGGTACTCTGGCGATGTTTGGCTGTGAAGAGAGTGCCGAGAAAATACATTGCATTGGTCGAGGCACTCACTTTACTCGAACTCATACAGACAGCCAGGTGAGAGCTTACGGCGAGTTGTCATTTGAAGTGGTGTCCGTCAGGGATGCCCACTATTCCTATTTCTATTCAATTTAATCGTAGATGTACTAATGGACCTAACCCTAAGTGACTTCAGCGACTCAGGGATTGACTTGTTACCATCAGGGAATAATTTCGTTGACTTAGAATATGCAGATGATGTAGTCCTTCTAGGTAAAGACGCTGACAAAATGCACTCTTCTGAAGGCCTTGAGCTGCGAATGTTCGGCATGCAATTCGCTCCTGCCAAATGTAAGATGATGCTACAGGACTGGACTACACTGACTTCTAGCTTAGAAATAGGGAGTGAAGTGGTAGAGCACGTTGACCGCTTCACTTATTCAGGAGGTTGCATCAGCCAGTGCCAACGGGTTGATCACTGATGAAATCTCATCACGGACACAGAAGCCTTGTTTCGCATTTGCCAGTTTACGCCGTCTCTGGCGTGAACGTGATATCCGTCTATCGCCCGAAGGGCGTGTATACTGCTCAGCAGTTCACTCCGTCAGACCTCCATGGCTGTGAGACCTGGCCATTGAAAGTGGAAGACATGAAAAGGTTGGCTAGCTGTCTTTGAGCAAAAGTGCCTGCGTTCTATCTACAGTGTTAGGTATAATGATAAAGTGAGCAATATTGAGGTTAGACGTCGATCGAGTGCTAGATAAGGAGAGGAAATCAATCGACGAGGTTGTGAAGCAGTTACACCGATTGAGGTGGTTAGGATATGTGTTACGTATGCCTAGGCATAGCCTTCCTCGACGGGCAATGTTAGCTGGCAGGATGGATCAGGTCGGAAAAGAGCTGGTGATGGTCAAACCAAAACATGGCCTCATCAGTCAGTGAAATCCACAACAGTTAGCTTAAACCACATAGGAAGGTGTAGACTTTCTAGCTGGGGTCCTCGGGATAGTAGAAACCAATGGCTGGAGACAATCGGTGATATGGCTCAAAATCGTTCTCAATGGCATAGATGCATTCTCCTTGTGATTTATAATATCCAATAAAACTAAATTGTCCTTTTATATTACTATTCTTTTTGCCTCACATCTGTTTTGGATCTCTTTTTACTCTTTTCTCCTGCTTTATGTGCTACGTGAAGTGTGGTAACTCAAACTGCTGCTCATCGGTGCAAAGTCCTACGTTGAAACCAGGCAGTCACCTTATTATTTGACAAATACTAGGTTCAAAATTAGAACAGCAATAACATGCACTGATTGTTTCAGACAATCATCTTCCTGATTACGTTGAATACTTCGTTTTGACGCGAGGTGAGAAGTTTTTCAAGGTAAACACAACTACATCAAAATCATCCACCTGAGCTAAAAATCTCCTCCATTATATCTAGTAGTGAAACCTCAACGGATTTAAGGCTCGCTACCCTCTGACTGTCATATTAACGCTAAATATATTTTAGAGGAGGGCGACTGATGAGACATTCTGACCGGCTCTACGTGAAGTCACCATAGCGAAATTATCATCAGAACATGAAGATATTGCATCAGCGGCTGCTAATGCCAACTGCCTACCTGGAACTGTTGTGATACATAAGGATCGATGGATGAAGAAATCATCCACCGGGTTGTACAAGCACACAGTCTATTACTCTTATGCTGGTTCACCTGCTGTTTTCAGAAGTGATAGCTTGTACTAACTCCAATTTCAATACGAATATTTTTCTGGTGAAAAACTGACTTAGATTGAAGATACACTGAGAATCTCCTGAGCGGCATACTTACACGATAGTTCAGTAATTTATTATCATTCATTATACTACAAACGGTCAGCTACAGATGATATGCAGAAAAAGCTTTTTCTGTTATTGTACGCTAGATTGCTGGATACTCAACTCACATTTCTTTTAATAAGTTGTGCGAACTCTCCTGGAAACAGAAAAGAAAACTATAGGCTGCAACAAATGCGTAACGTAACATCTTAGTTGATTTAAAGACAGAATCCAGAGCTTTTTATATCCTAAATCTTTCCATTGAAATTACATTATGTTTCATAAAGAAATATTGGCTAAGAGTTTACGGTTTGTTCAAGAAAAACAGTGTGAGTGGAACGAAACAACTTATAGGCAACGATTCATCGGATAATCGAAAAAAAAATCAAGATATATTAGCACTGCAATTTTCACATTAAAAACTGGATCACTGGTTTAGCTTACAAATATGCAACAGCAAAAATCACTTTTTTTTAAGCAGACAAATATTGAGAATATTTAAAATTGTCAGCATCGTCTCGGGGTTCGACGACGAGGAGCAGCTTTAATAATATCATCGACGCGAATGATCATCTCCGCAGCTTCTGAGGCTGATGTCAACAAATGATGTTTGACATCGTATGATTCAATTATCCCAAGCTTATTCATATCAGCAATAGTTCCATTGTTCATATCTGAAAGAGAAGGAAAAAATCGAGCTAAGATTATTATTGAAGGAATAGATTGTTGAAAAGTTTCTTCCACTAACCTAATTAAAGTGTGATTAACACTAATTTATGCTATTCTTTTGTCTTCTAAATGTCTGAATGGGAATTTTTGTTATCATGAAAAAACATCTAAGATACAATCGTTTCTGTAGTTATGTGATAGTAAGGCTGTCTCGACTATGCTCGTAATGCCAATTGCAATATTAAACGAGATCGTATCTAGTTAAACCAAGTCGGACATTTTATCAGTTACTTGGACTCAAATTACCAACGAGAGTTAAACAGACCTGTAAAATTTTACTCAAAAAGAACATTGCAACGGTACACTAAACAATGCTCTTTATGAGTTCACTACTCAACTAACTATTGTACTGTGCACACTCGAACGATGTGGAGAAACAGGGGGAATTCTCAGTCTATCTATAAAATAGAGAAGGGACACACTGCAAAGAATCATCCAGCAGGTTAATAAGTGACATCATCACTAGGGCCAACTGACAGATCGAAAACGCTATCAAAGGACGCAATCGTCCGAAATTCTCTGAACACTAGTCATAGAGACACAACAAAGGTGAGTTCTCTTCCATGGAAACTTAAGACATTCAAACACATTTATGTGTAACTGTTTCGTTTTCACTAGGCGCAAACGTTTGCCAATAATTGGTGACATGTTTGTTAGTCTGCCCGGTACACAAACATTTACTAGCAAAACACACAAGGAATCAATATACTTACCCAAACCCATGCTATTTTTTCCATTTGCGTGGGCAGCTCGCAACTGAGAAATTAAGTCAGCACTATCGTAACCTCCATTATCAGCTATAATAGTAGGTAAACGCCTCAGAGCTCGTGCAAAGGCCTCCATAGCCAAAGATATTTTCCCCGGAGTCTTAGCAGCACCCTGGGCTACTGCTTCCGCCATCAACATTTCCATAGCTCCACCACCACAAACTGTTCGAGGATTTTTTACAGTCAGCGCTAATACACACAAAGCATCATGTAGGGACCGCTCTGCTTCAGCCAAGATACTTTTCGTTGCTCCTCGCAAAACTATTGTGCAAGCTTCACCTAAAGCGACACCACTGAATCGCAGCAATTTATCTTCCCCAATAGTTACCTATCAAAGTGAAATAAATTAATAATTACAAACATGAGTAAAATGCATGAAAGTTAAACTAGGACAAATTAAACGTGTACGTTTTTCCATTAAACATTGGCAACACAATACTCAAATCAATGTGATCATTAGCTTTGTTGTTGATCCATAACTGGCAATGTGTTCATTATTATTTATTTAATCAGGCACACAATTAATATAATATGTGCCCAAAATATGCACAAAAATGAACCACAACTAACAAAAAAGTTCGAACTTATTCGACCTGGACGGATCAAGTAATATAATCAGCACTGATCAATTCAGACAGTAACTTCAAGGATGATTTGTCATGTACCCCTCAAACCACAACCAGGTCAAAACTCACAAGTAGGCATAAAAGTAAGCAAACACATGATATCAGGTGGACACAGATAAGACAAAGGTGATGAGATACACGACAACAAACGCCAACTATCATCAATGGGATAAATCTGGTGGAAGTCGTCTCTTCTACTCACCTGAACAGCATCGTTTCGACTACAGGAGACGGGATTAGATAGGAAAAACAAGGCAGGCGCGAATCGCACTGAAATCAGTGCGGAGATCTGCAGTGATCAGCATACACATACACACAGACTCAAAGTTTTAACACTAATGCCAAGTGAGTGTCAGAAAAGGATGAGCAACAAAACACCTCGTGAGGGGGAAGTGAGAGCTTATGGGCAACCGTGAACAGTGAAATGATGTCTGATATTCCATTATAAAACTAAGGGACAAATGATAATAATAATGATAACATGAAAAGTAATATAAGAACAATAACACTGATACTCACCTCTTCTATTAGTTCACAGTGTCCTAACTTCGTGGTTTCAGGAGAGTCAAACGTTGATACGATTTCGCCACCGGTAACCAGAGCCAATCTTTCTACGCCTTCGAAATCTGCATGTTCAATAGCCATAATACCGGCATCAGCAAACAATTGCTCCGGATAATTATATATTAATTGTCTGGAAGTAAGATTCCCAAGTTATATTGTTAGGTACACAGTAAACTGAATATATATATATATATGCTTTACATTATAACTTAATTAGAGACAGTCTTCAGATATAATTCGGTTTGCTAACACGGATGACAGATCGCTACATAATCACAGAAAAACGTACACATTTGGGCAAAATTCATTTGGAATTTTCTAATGATTACATGAAACAGCAATACTTGAAAATGTTTCGATTTTACTTAAGGATAACTGTAAACAATGGTTAATACAGCAGCTATGAAGATATTTAAAATCGACTGAAACACCAAGTTTTAGCCCAAGTTCTAGGGAACCACATGAATTACTGCTCTAGGCTCTAAGGTAGTGTATTTCCCTAAAATGGCTTTCACCACTACACAGATTTGGAGTGTCACTGATCAAAAAAATATGTACATGTGTATTCTAGTAGCGCAAGTTCTAGATGCATTGCTGGATGCCAACAGATTAATGCTATAAAGTTCCGTGTCATTGTTTTGCTTCTTAGCATTCCTATGTACATGAATAACTTATTGACGTAAGACTTTGTACAACAGTATACCAGCTGAAATTGTCAAGCTTCGGAGAAGCACATAGGAGTCGAGAATGTATGTAATAAAATTACACTGAAGAAACAATACCTACGTGCGATGGAGATATCCAGAATATATCTGTACCACTGTGAACGACTTTGAGCTGTCAAGTGTCTGACAACAAACTCAGCATCATGAGGACTTCGTCAAACAGTCTACGTGGTCCAAGCCAGTAGTCAACGTCTTCAAGAATTGGTATCATGTATAACTTAACGATTTCTAAATCCCTCCCAGCCTGGTCTGACTTTCGTTGACATGGTTCGTCGAGTAAGGCCGTGGCGGTATGCCTAGAACATGCCTTAGTGATATCAAATTGGTGGTTTCACCACCTTGTGTAGTGACTTTCATCACTTTTCAAACAACCCATTCCTAGTCTTATTATTACTGACCATACTGCTTTATCTGGCAGGAAAATGAAAGAAAGCACTTATAGTCCAGAACTGCTAGTCTCTTTACGACTTTTTCTTTTAACAGCCTTCTTAGCGTTTTCACCTAAAAAGGACAGAATTATTTTTACTCTAGATCAATCAGAATATACTCTCGTAACAAGTCAATTTCTGAAGAATCGAAGTCGACTAAGGTCACATGTACCAGTAGGTGTCGTTAGACAGTCCTGATGGAGGCCACGGGTATCATCACTTCAGACGACAACCAATCATAAGCTCTTAAATAGCTGCATGTCTGAGTAGAGAGCATTAATTAGTAAACTACATAATTATGGCAAAACATTCGGAGCTAAACATTGAGATTCCAGATCAATGAGGTTACGTTCCATCTTCATGTAAAGAAACATGCCAGGTGCTGGATGCGAGTGGGCATGTTTATTTTTCAGAACCTATCGGAAGGTGGAGATAAGCTCAATGGACTCAAATTCAGGGCTGAAGCTCATGTGTCTTCCTCAGCTTCGTTTTTCCATCAACATATTTGGTCTAGATAGCATAATATTAAAGTCTGATCACCCTGGGACAATGCAAAATGTTCATATAATGTTTGACAAAACCTACTTCAGTGGAAATTGTATCTACTTAAGTCTCAGAAAAATGTTCACAGACTGGAGTTCGTCATAAGATGACAATTACCATTTATCACCAAAATTACTTCACACGGGACACCTCGAAAATGTAACATTATGATGCATTCTAGAGACTCTGAGTCGCGACTCAAACACCAGTATCGATTGATGTAAAACGGCACATGGAGCAAATCCCGTTTAGTTGCTAACAATTTCAGTGACAGGAAAAGAATTGAGGATGAATTCACGAGGGAAAAACGAAAAAGGTAGAGTAAACAAATAACTGAAGCCAAACGACTAATGCAGGTGTGATCAAATTATAAGGCAAGTAAATAAATGCAATTAAAGACGAAACCGAGGTCTACCTGTTGATAAATACCGAACAGTTGTGCTTCAGGATTTTATCAACCTTGTCTTTCATTTTTTGTTTTTCAGCTAGCTCCAACTCAGCCACCTTTGAAACAGCATCCACCTGGATCTTGCTACCGAATACTTTGATTTTATCTGCATCCATAGGTGTATTAGCAATCAGAATTCTCGCTTTTTCAATACGCTTAGGTTGATTAACACCGGGACGTTTGTCCAGAAGAAATCCTTCATCCAAATACGAGTCTGTCATCGTACCACCCAGTTTTTGAATTATCTATACAGTGAATTGTGAGGTTAGTTGTGTGAAAAAATTATGATAGCGAAATTAGTTTGGAATGGTAACTTACTTGTATTGCATCCAGATTTCCACTCCCCTTTAGTCGAAGAACAGCGTCCACAGCTAAATTTGCAAAGTGTTCTTTGTGTTGAGTCAGAAGCTTGGAGCTTAATGTTGTACGTGCAATGCACATCAACCGTTCACGAAAGTGAGCATCTGATTGATTCGATAAGCATGCAGCTGAATCAAGAGCTGCTGCAGCCAACTTCGAAGCCTCCCGCCAACCCTGAACAATAGTCTGGGGATGAAGCTTAGCAGCAATCAGCTGTTCACCCTCCTAAATAGAAAAACAGAACAAAATGTGAAAACTTGGAAACTAACGCATGAGAAAGTATCTGGAGTGAACATGAGAAGACAAACTTTTCTACCTGATCCACTAATATATATGAACAGGCTAATCATATGTATGTACAGAAAATAGCGCACAAGTTATTTCTGCCATTGTATGCTAGTAGAGAGTGAAAGTCATACAGTTTAACCTTGTTATTCGTCATCCACTAACATTCGCAACCCAAACGATACGATCAGGTAAAAAATTCAGTGTAGTATGACCCTCCACACAAGAAACAATATTTCAGCGATAGGGATAATTTGTCCTAGATACAAAATTAAGGTAACTCAGGTTGATTCGTCTTGGAAATCACTTTTCTCACCAAGTTGAGCAACTTCGCAGACGCTCTCACTTTGCTATAGCATCCAGGATTTACAAACAGCATTTTGTTGGATGGATTTCCACTCGAAAACCTGAACATAATATGCTCGCGAATCTTCAACAAAATTTCATGAAGCTTTGCTTGCATCACTGGATAATTTAGATGCTGCAAAAAACTGGTGAACATAGACAAGACGGAGGTTATGGAAATAACCAACCAACAACAGCAGCAACATCCAGTGCCAATCACCATCAACGGGAGGGATTTGAAAGAGGTTACTTCTTTCACTTATCTGGGGAGCATTGTCTCAACCACAGGAGGAACGGACGAGGATGTCAAATCGAGAATCGGGAAGGCGAGAAACACATTCATCAACCTGAAACCAATTTGGAAATCTTCGTCACTCAACTCACCATCAACAACAAAATTCGGATTTTCAATACAAACGTCAAGTCAATTTTGCTTTACGGATCAGAAACTTGGCGGGTCACCAAGAATATTTTCAACAGGTTGCAGACCTTTATCAACAACTGTCTTCGCTCCATACTGAAGATTAGATGGCCAGAAAGAATCACAAACAAGAAGCTATGGGAACAAACGAAACAGGAACCAATCGCCCAACAAATATGCAGGAGGAAGTGGAGATGGATTGGACACTCGCTGAGGAGGCCGTTGAGTGACATCGCGCGTCAAGCCCTCGAGTGGAACCCGAAAGGGAAGTGGCGAGTGGGACGTCCAAGGGTGACATGGAGGAGATCGTGTGAGGAGGAGATGAAACAGTATGGAATAACATGGACGCAAGTGAAAAGAACAGCAGAAGACAGAAGCAAGTGGAGACGTGCAGTTGAAGCCCTATGTTCCACTAGGAACCCAAGGGAACAATAATAATATAATAATAATAATAAAAAACTGATGGTCCAAAAGTAGTTTCCGAAATGAATTGTTTGCACACAAATGGATATTCTGGATTTTCGGTTATTAATAAAAGTATAGCTGGTATCAATCGAACAGATTAAGAAGCAGAGCATGTAGTTAAGATGTGCTGTCTGTACGTCAAAAGGTCTTGGTATCCCAAAGTAAAATATGAATACTTGTTGAAACCCATAAGAAACCTGCTTCTTGCGGCCTTGCATTTTAATGCTTATTCTTAACAAGTATAATGTAACAGGAACTATCGCAGCAACTCACTGCTTTACAATTACAGCCTTATACTTTGACAGTGTTCAAGCATATAGAGGGAATTCGCAACTTACACGCAGTAGTTCTGCAGCCAGGACAGTGACTGAAGTTGTACCATCACCAACCTGGTCATCCTGGACTTTACTCATTTCTAAAAGAAAAATATATATTTTAGATGAGACATACCAACAAGGATTTTAGCTGCAGGATTATCCACACCAATTGACTTTAGTATGGTAGCACCATCATTTGTAACTTCGACATTATCATCGGATGACAAGAGAATTTTGTCCATGCCCTTAGGGCCAAGTGTGGTTTTGACGAGGTCACCAATTGCAATGGCTCCAATGAATGAAGACTGCCCAGTAAAAAGGTTATCAAATGATAGACTTACCATCCGAGCAGTTTCTGCTTTCTCCTCATCTGCGCCTGAGCTCAGAATGTTAATTGGTTGTAATGACAGCTGAAAAATAAAGAAACTTTTAATTAAGTTCAGCTTTGTGGTGAATATGAAGAAATTGCATTTGACTTTAAGTGCAGTATATAAACCTTTGAAACTCCGGGAGTAGGTAAGTGTAACTGCCTGACCAGTGGGAAAGCTGTGACTTAGTAGTCACGGAGTAATCTCCGGCTTAACTGTTGTATAATCCACACTAGATGAATAGCAACAATAACAGTCAGATACCGCTCCAGCCGAATGAATTCATTCTTACATATATAAACGCTTCTCAAGTTTAACCCTGCGCTTTTAAATGTCAAGTGAAATACAAGTCTGCTGTGGATTTAATCACAACTGCAGAGTGGTGATACTGTACAAACGCAGACACAGAAGGCAAAACATGTTTCAGTTAACTGCTACACAAGGATATCGAAGTAGTTTGGGAATTATATCACTATTCATTCTTTTTCACTTGACTTTTAATTGTAGGGTATTTTCAGCTAACTGCCTATATTCTGCAATTAAAGGTGTTGAAAGACATGGCAGGTTATTCACTTATTTACACCCTGATATGGTCAGCTGTAAATTGACAAGCCTTAGTAACTGTCTACCTAGGCTTTGAATTGTTTACAAGCATAATCAAAACTAAAGATATTTGTACAACTACAATACTTCCGTATTTTGCACTTCACAATACCGCCTCAAAACACACAAACTTCAGGTAAGTCCTGCTTCACCCTAGCCAAATGGAATCATGATCTTAACAACTTATCTTTTTGTACTTAAAAGGTTTGCTTACTATTGCTGATGTCCGTGAGCAAGCACTTTTCGTAGAAGACCTTATGAACTTTAATAGCTCTTAGTAAAGATCTAGAGGAATGCATGTTAACTTGTTTAACGTTGCTTATAACTTGTCATTCAGACGGACAGCTGACGAGAGAGAACACTAATTTAACACAGAATAAAGGTGGTTTTATATCAGTTAGTTAAAATACTGGTTACGTTTCATAACTCTATGCATGGTTTTGAATGCTCTTTCTGTAGCTTGTAGTAATTCGGAAGCTCTCAGTCACAAGGAACACAGAAGTTGTATTTTCAATAATTACAGAGACCTTAGCAAGTCAGGCGGACTTTATTTCTAATCCAAACTTGTTATAGTTATAAAGGTTGCCCCGCAAGAATACTTAAGAGCAGCAAATACTGGGTAATACCTTATTTGGGAAAGGAATGTGTCTATATCCACAGTTTCCATACATGTGAGACGAAGTGAAATTAACATACGATGATTTCCTGTCTCGTTACGAGAACAGTACATTTCGAAAAGTGCTGGACAAACATCCAGCCAAGACAATGTCTGTGAAGAACTTAACAAGGAAAAGATGCACGTACATAACTCATTTTCTTACTCAAGTATTATGAAACATTTAACGCACCAAACAATGAGGAAGCGTCACTTATTTGCTCAGATGCATAATTGAAATTATAAGGATAGAAGGCTCTAGTGGCCTATGCTAATCCTCGCGAAATATATCTCTGAAAAGATACAATTTTTTCATTGAAAGCGTTCACCGATGGAGCGGTTACTACTGTATCAGGAAAGGGGTTCCAGTCGTTGACTACTCTGTAAGTGGATCTAAACTCCAAAAGCATTTTAATCGACCTCGTATGTTGATGGTGTTAGCCACTCAGCTCATTATGCCAAATATCGGGGACCATTTCAGATGCCCATACTAGCATAAACATCCAAATAGCATGACTGCACACAAGGAACCGCAGTGTATTGGACTAGCTTAAATCATGTCATCGAATAGGCACATTTCAATCGTTTCACATCACGTCATTGGTGAATTTAGTCAGTATTTTGGCTTTTTGACCACTTTAAAGGGTTTCTCTGCAAGATATTACATAGCGAGCAACTTACCATGGTTAACAGTCACGACCTTTTAGCACGCTAAGTGTTGACAACAGACTTAAAGAAACAACTCTCAATGTCCAATGCGAAATTCAAACATTCGTTTGACGACTCCATATTAAAGTTGAAAATGACTGCGATATTTCTTGAACTTCTTAAAGAATAAAGAGAACGACTGGGATACCCACTTTGTCTCGATATGAGAAGAGTCTTTTACCCAACATTCTGAAGAACTCACCCAAAAACCAAAAAAACCCTTCATTGGTCTCAGTATTCAGAAACCTTTATAGGCATGAAGGTTATTGTAGTTATTCCCTCTTAAATTTCATGTAGTGAATCACAGCGATGCATCTCTACTTCACCCTGTTCTCCGGAGTCCTTTTTTAAGTGGATCCAGGGTTGCCCATAAGCTCTCACTTCTCCCTCACGTGATCTCCTGTGTCACATACGGACAGTCAATATGTCGCTTTCCATTAGGGTTTCAGTTGAAGTCCTTGCGTGTCACGTCACTCAGAGGTCCCCTCAGCGTATGTCCAACCCACCTCCATTTCCTTCCACATATCGGTTGGGCAGTAGGTTCTTGTCTGGTTCACCGACGCAGGTTTTTTGTTGCTCATCCTTTTCTGACACTCACTTGGCATTAGTGTTAAAACTTTGAGTCTGTGTGTATGTGTATGCTGATCACTGCAGATCTCCGCACTGATTTCAGTGCGATTCGCGCCTGCCTTGTTTTTCCTATCTAATCCCGTCTCCTGTAGTCGAAACGATGCTGTTCAGGTGAGTAGAAGAGACGACTTCCACCAGATTTATCCCATTGATGATGGTTGGCGTTTGTTGTCGGGAGACAGAGACAATGTTAAGCGTGAAACTTATGACTTGCTCTGTTATTAACAACATAATTTTAGGCTCTTTTATTTCTCTCTTATTTTGTATTCTTTAGTGAACTCCTTCTCAAACATACTTAGCTGCCTAAAATATTAACATTGGCTTCCTTTTTTGTACTTTACTACATTCCTTCTATTGTGTATCCACTGGTTCCGACTCTATTAGCACTGTGAGTATTACAAAATTGTCCTGTCAGTAACCATCATGTAATTCTTAGTTTTGTGGTTGTTTTTTCTTATTTTCTATACTTTTCGGCAATATTATACTGACAATCATTGGTTGTGAACGCCATAGTCACCACCTTAAAAAATTTTGTATTATTCAGGATTACTCACACTACCACCACAAACACTGCATTAGGCTTTGGTTGACTTCGGTACTTTTTCGCATTTATAATTATTTTGTGTTTGTCCTGTTGTTGTTTTTTTTTGCTGTTGGTGTCTTCAGATTTTTTTGTTTGTTTAATACTTATATTAAATGTCTGTCAAAATTAGATGCAAATATTGTAGATATATGCTGAAAATTCCACACTGTACCACTAGTACTGTTTCTGGAATAAAGTAAATTATTATTAATGTTTACTATTTTGCAAACTGTACGCACTCAAATGTATTTTAATACAATATAAAGTCTTGTAATGCTGTAGAGATTTGGGACTAAGGTGGTTCACGATAGTGAACTCTTGAACAAACAAATACTAGAATGCAGTCGTTTGTCCTGCCTCATCACAGGGGGGTTCGTCAAAGACCCCAATGTATGTAACTGTCATTGCGAATTCTGTGGGACAACATCTTGAAGCTCTTCGCAGTCATAGTTAAGAACGTTGCATTAGTGGGGGAAAGAGTACGCATATGTTTGAGGTGGTGAGTTACATTTTACAGATGTTTACTTACGGTCTTCTTCAATCTTTTAAGTTGGCAGGAAAACAACTGCCCTAAAAAGGTGAAGAATGATAAAAATATGAAGTGATACTTCATGGAGCCACGGACAACAAACCTGAGACATATCAGTTCACCCCTGCATATTTCGATGATGATCAGAGTAGCGCACGCGCATATTCACCCTCACTCTTTTCGGGAGTCTTGTCGTGATATTGTGTGTGCTTCTCCGGCTGTGTGTCATCCTTTTTTACTTTTGGCGGCGTCATACTGGCCCACCGTCTCCATCACTGTCGTTACCGTCTGCGTGGAATGGATTACTGACCATCTTCTTTCCAGTTTGGAGAGCCCACTTCGAATCCACTCATTCTCATGGGTTCCTATTGCTCCCATACTATTTCTTCTCATTTCTTCTGTATTTTGAATGTGCTTTCATCCTCAAATATGGTGCAGAAATTCCATATCCCTATGTTCACCTTCACTTTGATGGAAAGATGGTGAACTAGCCAGTCGGCTTTCCGAATGGTTTCACAGGATGACGCCACTCGTCCTCGGGTTGTGAAGTTCTTCTGATTGTGGCGGCGAGTAAGTTAACTGCATCTCCCCCTCGATTTTCCATTTGACATGGTGTGTTTTTCACCGTTAGGTCTCTAGTCGTAGGCCCAACCTTCCACCTTTCCAAACCTTAAGGTTAGGTGCATGGTCCCCCCCGTACTAAGCAACGTTATTATGAAGATTGTCAGTCAGTAAATTCTTTTTCACGAAATCTTATTAGTTCCATTAAATATTTGGAGGTGGCTGAAAGGGGACACACTCATGCTCTTGCAGCTGGCAGATCTCAGCTCTTTTGGATTTGCAAGAGGGGTGGATGCTTCCCATAAACGCAATGATTTGCGCAGCCAGTGCCGGCTGACAAACAAGTGACAGTGCACATAACACAGAATAGCACCCCGTCGAGTTGTCACTCAGGTAAGTCTGTGTATCATAAAAAGTTATGGCCTAAAAACCACGGCAGGCTTACGCTCAGTCGCAAATCAAGACTTCAGTTCTTTATCAGCAATATTTTCGTAGGCCTTAATGTGAAAAGTTTCTCTCCTATACATGTCTCCAGTGACGTCAAAGCTAGAAATCTGAATACATATAACTAGCACCCCCCTAAAAGGGGATCCATATGTCTTGTAAACGGCTCGATGAACTGACTCCCTGTGAAACTGGGGCAGGTGGTCCTACTGAACTCCGTTGTTATAGGGGGCCCTTTAAGTTACAAGCATCTCGTCAAGGGACCTCACAACCGGAATCTTTGTCGAGTGATATTCGTTAGTTTGCTCACAGTACCTCTCGATATTAAAACAAGTAACCCATGCCTTTTCACTTTTCCTCAGTAACAGACCCTGGTATCATGGAATACGAACAAAACCTGGGTAGCGGAGGAAATTCGAGTACTGCCAATGCTTTCATGTAATCCGTCTACTATTAACCATTACAGAGTTTTTGTTATGTAATCCTAAATAGTTAAGAAGAAATTACTGGAGATTTTGCCTCTTTCATGCATCATGTCTTCAGACAGTCTGAGTTAATTGACATCCCGCATAGTATTTCTCATCACAATGTATTTTAACAGTGGAAACATTCTGGAAGTTTAAAGAATTTTTGTATTTGCTGAATTATTATTGTTTCCTTTAATTCCTAGAGGAATATCGGGCTTCAGCCGTGCGTCTCCATTGCGTTCGGTTCTCTGCTAGAGTCTTCACCTGGCTCCAAGTCTGCCCACACGTTTTCATCTCCTCTTCATGTGACCTCCTCCAAGTCACCCTTGCACTGACAACCAACTCGCCACTTCCCTTTCGGGTTCCACTCGAGCAATGGCTTGTCTAGTGATGTCACTTGATGGTTTCCTCAGAGTATGACCAATCCATCTCCATTTCCTCCTGCATATTTGTTTCACAATCGGTTCCTGGTTGGTTTGCTCATTGCCAGAGATCTCTGTTGCTGATCTTTTCTGACCGGCCATCTGATCTTGAGTATTGAGCGAAGACAACTGTTAATGAAGGTCTGTAGTTTGTTTGAGATGCTCTTTATGACGCGCCAAGTCTCTGATCCGTATAGTAAGTAGCAATGACTTCACATTGGAGTTGAAAATCCGGATCTTATTTTTGATGCTGAGTGCTGTTGACCCCCACACAGATTTGAGAGTAATGAAAGCTTGTCTTGCTTTCCCGATCCTCGCTTTGATATCCTCGTCAGTTCTGGCTGTAGTTAAAACGATGCTTCCCAGATATGTAAAGGAGGTTGTTTCTTTCAGGTTCCTCCCATTTATGCTGATTGTTGTCAGTTGTTGTTGTTGCTGTTGGTGGTGTTGCCCAGGACTTTTCATTAGCTCTGTTTTCTCTATGTTCACCTGAAGTCCTATCTTTGATGCCTCTTCTGCCAACTTGTTGCTTTTCGCTTGCATATCTTCCAGTTTGTGGGAAATCAGACATATATCATCGGCGAAGTCCAGATCCTCCAAGTTTTTCGTTAAGGTCCATTTTTTGCCTGTTTCCTCATTGCCTGGCCCACTGTTTGTCGCATTATCCAGTCTACTGCAATCAGGAAAATCATTGGCGATAGTAGGCAGTCAGCTTGTCTTACTCCTGTCCTCACTTCGAAGGGTTCCGTAAGTTTCCCATTGTGGATTAATTGGCATGCAGCATTGTCGTACAGCTGTTGGATGAGATGTATAATTGTCGGTGGCACGCCGTAGCAGCAAAGTAGTTGACAAATCACCTCTGGATCAACTCTGTTGAAGGCCTTTTCAAAGTCGATGAAGTTGAGATGGAGAGGTGACCGTCATTCCAGCCTTTGTTCAATGATTATCCGTAATGTGGCGATCTGATCAATGCATGACTTGTTTCTCCTGAATCCAGCCTGTTCCGGTCGAAGTTTTTCATCCAGGGCATGTTTGGTTCTCTCCAGGATAATGCGACTTAGTATTTTGCTTGGGATGGACAGGAGCATAATTCTTGCATTGACTTAGGTCTCCTTTCTTGGTAGTTTGAATAAGTATCCTTTCTTCCAATCCTCGGGTACCTTGCCTTCTTTCCACACCTCCTCCAGTAGTGGCGTCATCAAGTCCTCTGTTATCTCCGGGTCCATTTTCAATGCCTCTGCTGGGATTCCATCTGTTCCTGCTGCTTTCCCAGCTTTTAGCATCTTGATTGCCTTCAGGACTTCTGATTTCGTTGGGGGGTTGGTGTTCACTGATAGCTCTGTCTCTG